CCTGCTGCTATCACTGTGAAATTGCACTCATGGGAAATACAAGGAAGAGCTAAGTATAGACTAGCAGTAAGTAGTGATTTAAATTGGTCTTTCAAGCACTAGTGCTTAGACTGTTTATAGTTTGTGTGAGGGCCATCTAAATGATAAACACTCCCATGAACTGAGACACCAATTATTTCCTGGCATTTCCAGCCTGTGAGAAGTATTAAACCTACCATTAACAATTAAAATAAATTCCTGGGTCTGCTGAGCCTGCAGTACTGGATAGTGTACCTATGAGGGATGATGCAAGATTTCTTCCCATACAGCAGTAAGTTACTACATATAAAAAGATTCAGCATATAGATAAAGTTTCCTTTAATCAGTAAAGCCTAGATAACTCTGGTTTTGTAACTGAAGTGAACAGCTAAGCTAACTCCCATGCTTTGAATCAACTGAATGTTTAACAAAAAGCCTTTTCTCACTGCCAAACCAGAACTGACTTCAGCTCAGTAGTGAACTATTGGGTTGGCCAAGAAGTAATTGCATTTTTTTCCTAGGTAAATGAAAGGTAAATTTTTCCACGGGAAACAACTTTACGAAGCAATAGTGTCCATTTTGTTCAATTACCTTTTGCCATCTTTCAGGCAACTTCATGATTCCACACTCAAAAAAGTTATTAATTTTTTGGCAAAAAGCAGTTCCAAGAACGATCTGATATCTTCATCAGCAGTGAGGCTTTTGCCATACAAGACATTTTGTAAAGAACGAAACAAACAGGAGTCTAATGGTGCCGGTCTGGCAAATATGGTGGATGTGGTAACACATCACATTCAAGCTGCAACGATTTTTGATGAGTGACCAAACTCGTATGTGGTCTAACGTCATCATGGAGAAACACACCACCTTTGTGATTCATCAATTCTGGACACTTCTGTTTGGTGGCATCATTTAATTTCTCCAGTTGACAACAGTACACCTATGAATTAATGGTTTGGTTCCTGGAAGCAATGCAAAATACACAATATCTTTGAAATCCCTCCAGACTGACAGCATACCCTCCCTTTGGTGAACATCTGCTTTTGAAGTGTGAGCTGGTTCGGTCATGCTTGCTCTACGATCTTTTTCATTTGCTGTTGCTGTAGACGATGCATTTTTCATCGCCTGTTACCATGCATTTTAAAAATGGATCATTTTCTTCACATTTCAAGAACCGCAGATGTCAAGATGCTTAGTGAGATGAATTTCTTTGAGATCCTGTGGTACTCAGATATTGAGCTTCCTAATGTATCCAAGTTGGTTTAAGTGGTTTTCAATGATCAATTTCTATATGTTAATATTATCATCAATCTCTCATGTCACTTAATGCTGTTTGGATTTGACCAATGCCTTTATTTTGTCATTATCAACTTTGATTTGTCTTCCTAAGCATGATGCATCTTTAACAACAAAATCTCCAGACTGAAATTTAGCAAACCGATTATGACATTGCCAGTTTTAAGGCATCTTTACCATACCCATCACACAGCTTTTTATGAGCTTGCACAGCAGCTTTTTTTCCTTTTCTGAAGTAATACAACAAAAATGGCAAAAATGTTCCTTTTGATTTTCCACTTTGAAATCAATACTGAATAAAAAATTGTTAAGAAAAGAATGCATTTTCTTTTTCTAAAACAAGCTTGACCTGTCAGCTGTAAAGTTAAAAACCAACCAACCAACCAAAGAAAAACAACAACAACAACAACAAAAGGTGCAATATGCTGGCTACAGTCCTCTGGACTGGCCATGTGTGGCACACTGAATTCATGAGTAGTAACTGCAGTAATGCTTACCCATGTTGAGGCAGTCCCTACCTAGAAAGGCACAGAAGAGAGAGCAGAGGAAGGAGGATCGAGTTTCAGTAGAATGCAAGGGCCAAGACCAATTTAGTCATAGAAATGATCACAGAATCTTAGAACAGCCCAGGTTGGAAGGGACCTCAAAAGATCAACTGGTCCAACCTTTCATGGGAAAGGGAGGCCAGATAAGATTATCAAGCACTCTGTACAATTGCATCTTGAAAAGCTCCAGTGATGGGGACTACAACATCCCTGAGGAAGTTGTTCCAGTGAATGTTTCTTCTCACTGTAGAAACTTTCTTTCTTATATTGAGATGAAATATCTCCCAATGTAACTTGTCTCCATTTTCCTTTGTCTTTTTCCACATAGCTGCTTGTGAAG